TGCAGCTCTTTTCCGAATGCCAGCTGAATTTCAAACAATGACATAGTTGTTTTTTGTTTTGTTTTGTTTTGTTCATATACCTATAAATATTCTATCACTACGGTATATTGTGATAGAACATACAGTGCTTCCAAACAATCAGCCATATCGAGCGGTTCTGTTATTTGGAAACCAAAAAAGCTATTTGGTTCCCAAATGCTTCATTTGAGGTGCCAGTGGCTCCCTAGTCATTGTTTCAGTCTGGAGCCCTGCATCAGCCTGACAGTGCTACACAAATATACTCATCCACGCATCCATGCCTGCGTGCTTGTGTGAATGTGAACGTGCACATTATTAGGGGAATCTGGCAGTCTCCCAGCATTTTTGTCTTGGTTGATAAAAAAATTGCTCTGCCTGCGGTACACCTCTAGTCAAGAGAGGGAACACACAGTTCTTGGCTGTCCCTTTCAATTGGCAGTCTCCGTACTGTTCTGTGACTGATAAGAGGATAGTGTAAATAAAACTGTACAGCACAGCTCGTTACTGCTAAAGGAAAAGAGAGAGCATGCTGTCTGTACTCATTGTTCTGACGGCACGGTTTTTCCTTTTTATATGGATTTTTTTGCTTTTTTTTTTTTGGTACTGAGTGTACTGTCTTATATAACGCATTTGTGTAGGCTCACCGAACAGCAAAGGTATGTTTTTGTTTGCGCTGTATTTGTCTACTCATGTTCCCACTTCCGAGAGACAAGGGGGGGGAGGCGTTTGATCAGAGTGTGTGATGAGAATCCACCTTTATAGCATTAGACAATGTGCTTGTTCACAGGTCTTTCCATTACAGCTGTACTCTAGTATCACACTCTTCAGGGACTCATCAACAAAGGCAGCGCGGCCCCACTGCTGGGTAATCTGACACTGGATGTTTGCCGCAGCTGCCGTAAAGGCTCCGGTTTCACTCACATCATTTTATTCACGCACACGACCCTTGAAAACAAGACAAACAGATCGACGAGGCGTCCTCTTTAGAAACCGTAAATCCCAGGGTTTCGGTTGTGCAATACGTTCAGTGGAGGGAAGTGAAAAAGGAACGAGCCCGTGGCACGTGGCACCTCTCCTCCACTTGTTGGGAGCCACGGTTGTGTAAGAGCCCATTATGTCAGGTCGGCATCGCTGTGGCAACTCCAAGAGAAGGAGGGAGGAAGTAGGAGTTGCTAGAGAGCGATTTTTCTTTTCTTTTTTTTTTATAGCCTCATGTTTTTTTTTTTTGTTTTTTTTTTGCTGGAGAGGCAGTTATTTCTATCACTGGTGTCTGTTTATGCCTTTGGTGGGAAGGGGTTCGAAAGTGGGGTATGAATGCTGCCAAATCTGAGGGAGGTGTTTTTCCTTCACACTTTTTTACCTTTTTTTTCGTTTTTGTCGTGCTTAACAACAAGAAGTCGCTATTGATCAAAGGTAGAGGCTAGAATTTATCACTTTAATTCCATGACTTTTGCCGGGCCTGGAAGCACGCTCCTGCTGGGTGGCTAGATGTTGTCACCCCCTGTGAGATAATGACCTGCTCCAATAAGCTGCCGTTTATGTTGTGGGGTGGGTTTTAAGGTCTGGCTTTTCCCTCTCTGCCATTTAAGGCGGTGATCAATGTCCCGCTGGCCCTCCATCTCAAGCTACTTTAGTTCCTGAACCTTCCTGCTCCATGGCCAGTTGAGTGACCTGCTTAACACCAGGATTGGGCAAAATCTCTCTATCTGTCTGTCTGTCGTTCTGTCTGTCTGTCTGTGTATTGTTGTCTATCTGTCTGTCTAACTCTCTGTATGTCTGCCTATCTATCAGTCTATATCAATCATTCTATCGTTCTTCAGTATCTATCATTCTTTCTATCTGTCTATCTGTCTATTTGTCCTTCTTTCTACCATTTGTTATATTGTTTGTCATTCTATCACTCTGTCTGTCGTATCTGTCATTTGTTTATTCTGCATCCCCTTTGCCACTTCAGTACTAATTTAATTCATATTCAAACAGGTAGTCCACCCCAAGATTATACTAATGATCAAGCCAGAAGTTGAGATATCAGACCACTCAAGCAGGAATGTTTTGTATTTGCAATAGAGACAGTATTTAGATTTTTCGGGAAAGTTAAATTACAGATGGCGTACTTATAGTTTCTCTGCACATTAAATTGCATACAACACCCATTGCATAAGGCTAGATACAGTGTTTCATGACTGACAGTTTTGGAGTATGAATGCACTGAAGTAATCAGCTCTGAGGTTTGTCTGTGGTAGTTCCTCTTTATGTGCAACATTCAGTGGCATAGTGTGACCATTGGTAATAATGATGTATGATTTCTTGAGCCATTTAGAGGAACTTGTTTGTGCCACATTTCTAAGTTTATTGCTGAGTGGCATCATCTGCAAGAAAAGAAGAACAACACTTTTTTCTGTTGCTTGACATTACAGTACATTTTGCAACTTTACAGTGGTTGCGAAATGGACTTTGGTTTTTTTTATATCTGAGCTATGACTTCCTGTTGTGCTTGTGAAGGTGGTAAAATTTTAAGAAATAATGAGAAGAGCTGACAGCTCTGTTAGAAATTTTAAAAACTCCCTTTTGATTGAGCAGTGTTTCTGCTTAATTCTGATTTATAGATCAGATTGTATATTGGCATCCTGTGGTCTCACAGTTCCTCTTGGTGTCCCATTGCAACATCTGAACATGCTATGTGGATTTTATATGTGTGGCTTCTAGTTGTTTTTATCTTCTTTTTAGGGTCATGTTTGACAGCATTTTTGTGTTTTTAGTGAAAGTGTGCCTTGAATGATAAATCCCTCTTATGATGCATTGCTTTCACTGCACAGTGCACACAACATCAACATCTGTCATACATATCCTCCAAAACACATTGTAAACAGTGTTTTTGCCAGCAAGTTTTACTGAAGTGAATCCAGCAGACTTCCAACTCGCAAGCACCAAATCATTACAAGTATTACTGGGGTTCGAATAAGAGATATGACACCATGCACCACCCGAGGACCGCCAAAATTATGGAGATTGAATAACTTTTGCATTTTTTTTTTGTCTCGTAGCTGGTGAGAAAGCCATCGTTTGTGACCAGTGTGGAGCTCAGTTCCAGAAGGAAGATGCTCTGGAGGCCCACCGGCAGATCCACACAGGTGCGACACGCGCACCCCAACCCACACTGCACACATCAAATACACTCAAATGTCCTGCATTCAGTATATGCAGTATGTTATTGTATGTACAAGTTTAATAAGATAAATTATTACTGTCCCTAATGTCTTTTCTTTTAGGTTTTCTTTCAGGAAAGCATGCACAAGCTTTCTTTTTCATTTATCTACATTTATTTTTTTCCCCACTTTTTTTTTTTTAGAAAAATCAAATGTTTTGTGTCTTGTCATATGCTGTTCCAGAATTTCAAAATTAAGTTTTGATCATGTTTCATATTTAGTTTGTTTTATATAGTCATTAAAAGGTTTGTGTTTTATAAGTTGAAAGGGAATATTAATACCTCTAGTTTACATATCTACATATGAATCTAATTTTTGTGCACCTTTTTGACCCCAAACTATAGCAAGGTTTGTATCTATGCAATCCAAAATAACTTTTCAGTTTTTTTGTTTGTTTACAAAACAAGCAATGTAATACAGAATGGAAATCAAATCGTATCCGTTTGCATTCTAGGAAGAAAAGTTCACATCGTGTGTTTACTTGCAAAGCGTGGTAAATAATCAGCCACCTTGGTTATTTTTAAACGAATAAAGCTTGAGTCTCGATCATGTGTTTGAAGAGTTGAGTCCAATAACTTTTTGGAACACGTAGTGAAAGATGAACATTTACTGGAAGAGGTGAAAGGCAAGCCACCCTAGCAGGTATGGGGTAAAGCTGGCGACCAGCTCCAACAATTACGCACATACATACCATACCTGCTTGTCATTCTAGGCAGACAAATTATTGGTTGTGAGAAACAGGGCAGTTGTGGTCAGGCTTGGTTGGGTCTGTTTGTTTACTAGGTGCCCTCAAAACAATGTTGGGGCATGGAAGGAAGACCTCTCCAGTTTCCACATCTGCTTACGTACTTGGTGGCAACCCGAGTGGGATATGCGCTCGTGCACTTGACCCTTATATGATGACCTCTGCTGGGTTGCTGGACACAAGAGCTGTGCTGATGCATGTGGTCCTCAGTACACTGCCATAGTATAACTCCTCACTTTCCAGACAGCCCTCGCTATCTGCCCTTGGGAGAATGTTCTAGCACAAACGTGTCTAGCACTCCACAGCACAACAGTCTGGCTCGCTTAGATCACTTCGGGTATAGAAAGCACCGTTTGTGTTACATTTGTGATCATGTTCCCATTTTGTTTTGCTGAAAGATTCATCACACCCATGTAGCCTTGAACCACCTTCAGGAACTAGGTACTTGAGATTGACATCCTTAAAATGTACAGTCAGTAGTTCAGTGTATTGAATTTGGTCTTTCATATGTAAGTGGACACACTTGAATTAAGCTTTTATGGCTGCCAAAATGACACGAGTGAGTGTTCAGAACTCAGTCTTAATCACTGTTGATACAAACAGTCATTTTAAAGCAGCATCAAATGCAATTGAGGGAATATGTCTGAAAATTTGTAAAGGCTTCAAATAGTTTGTCTGAAGTACATTATGGTTTCAGTATTTAAAGTATAATACTTCAGCAAACACTCTGTTTCCTGTCCTAGGGCCTGCAATATAAGAAAAAACTGATTTAATGATATATATATATATATATATGTATGTATGTGCGTGTGTGTGTGCGTGTGCGTGTGTGTAAATATATTTTTTAAATATAATATTTTTTTTAAAGTATGTATGTGTGTATGTATATATATATAT